GGGTGCTAGGCTGTGATGTCTGTCCACCTGCCAGTCGTGCCAGTCGCCTTCTACGAATCTTGAATGAATATACAGGACGATTCACATGTTGGCTAACAGTGCGATAAAAGCTCAATCTACAGCCACATGTAAGAGAAGTTTGTATTATAACAAGGCTGTTTCTTGTGCACATAGATAATTAAATAATTAGCCATCTTTATTTCTGGATAAGTGATTGGCACAATCCGCCTGTACAAAATGAGAAACGTAATAAGTCAATTTTTATTACTCATCTTTGGTTATTAGCTACAGACAATGTACACACAGTCAGTGATCGGTTTTCATTCATCGGTTATGAAGTAACATAAGCATAAATCTAAAAGCCAGGCCTTATCGGATGGATACATTATAACCTACATTACGAACAAAGTCAGATGAGAGCACTAATCGTGCAACTGAGCTGAGGACCGTGACTACAGTAAATCAGCACACTCGGTTCCGAGTTGATCGAGCAGCTAAATACGGTTATAAAAGGTGGCAAAGAAATAATATTTAATAAAATGTTTAGCGGGGTACGAGGGGAACAGCTCAAGTGTCCACTCAGTCGGCCCACAGTTGATTGCACAATGGTGGCCCGGTGTTTTTTATGCTGAGTCGTCTCACAGGCTAATTTCTGTCTGTTAGCAAAACAACGTTAGCAGCTGTCAGCTAGCACGCCGCAAGAAGACATGCTAAATAAACTCTGTAAACAAAACATAACGTAACGTGTCAAACGTGCAACGAGTGGAAAACCATCTGCCAAATGAAAAACAATGTATGAATGTAGTTGTTTTACACGGAATCGACGCGATACACGGGCCAGCTTGTGCACAGCTCCTAGCATTACGTTAGCTAGGTAGTTAGCATTGTGCCCCGGCTACATTAAATGAACGTTAGTGGCAACAGAGAACAACTTCTACTTCTTCTCCCAAACACATGGACACACTCTCTCTATATAAACCTGATATGGCTCGGATTGGGTAACACGCACTTATTTATGCGGATGTTTAACTAAATGTGTGTTTTGTTTTTTTTTTTTTATCGCGGACGCATTTCTTCAATTTAGAGTAGGCTAGCCTCTAAGCTAAGTTAGCTTTAGCAGCAGGTCGGCTAGTTGCGAGACCTTTTGAAACGAGCTCCGACGTAAAGGAAGACATTTGTAAAGTCTGATCTGTAACGTTAGTAAAACAGGAGCTGCTTTAATCCTCCACACTCACTTTGAGCGGGTTTTTTTTGTTTTTGTTTTCCTTCCCATTGTCACCTTACCTCATCTGCGCTCAGCTCCTCCATCGCAGCTAAGTTAGCAACTATTTCACTTTGGACTGCTTCAATGTGTGCCAGCCAGAGCCAGCCAGCTAGCCTGTATCCGAGCTAAATATGCATAGTCTAACTCGTTCAACAAATACGTGTCAGTCTTGATTGTCTTCAAGATAAAAACTAGGACACCGGTTTGCGGAGGGTGGCGAGATACGGAACCTCCAAAAAGTCTCTCGTTTGCTAGTTTTCTACCAAGAATGAAACAAAAAGAAAAGTAGCTGGCTATTATACGTCAAAATACAGCGGCGGCCATTTTGGTTCTACACAAGGTCACGTGACTTAACAGCCTACTGGAGGAGGTGTGAGGCTTCAGTGTGTCGCACGGATGAATATATTTCACTTGGTTATGTATGTTTTTGTGTCAGTGTTGGTGGTTTGCAGTGCTTAATCATTGTCGACTAGCTGCTGTGAGTTAATTTAGATTCATGCGTATGTTTCCTAAACAGTACACCCTGTAGTTATTCATTCAACTGCATGGACAGTCTGTGGGGCACAAGGTCACAACAAAGAGGTTTCATTGGGCTCTTCAGTTGTTCCTGGATGTTAGTACCAGTCAACGCTCTAGTTAGCTATAGATGTCAGATTATCTACGATGTACACCGTCAGGCCCATTGTGTTATATCACAGATTTATTATATCACAGTTCCTGCCTCATCATCATCATCATCAGTGGGTTGAATGATGACACAGGTCAGATCTATGAGTGAGCACACAATCAGAACAATATGTTTGTTTATTTCTGAAAATGATTGAACAACAAAATATGCCACTTCAGAACCCATTTTATGATACAAAATACACACAAAACGATCTTCCAAAGACCCTACACCGCACTTTCTGTTGTACATCGGGTATACATTTATTTACATGAATGAGGGTTTTTATTTTTTACAAATAGCTCAACCAAATGTCAGATGGACAGCACAAGCCAGTGTAAAGAAAGTGTGGTATCTCGAATAATCAGACAATAGATATTTAAGGAAACAGAAAGTTTGCACTAAACAGAGCCTGCATGGACACATTATTTTTCAGCCAGCTGAAAGGAGCCAAAAATGGGCTTGATGTTCAGTATTTTATTTTGTCTGAGCCCAAGCACCACTACACTGCAGACCAGTGTAGACCAGTATCTGACAAAACTAATGCGCTGATGCCATCTTGTGGTGGTGATCCGTACCGTGACAGGAAATTACTTCTGAGTCACTTTACAGAGAACATACCACAAACCTTTAGCGTGGTTTTGTCAGTAAGGGTTTAGAGCGGTGGATTTAACACATGATGTCTTTCATCACAGATTATCTTCTCCAGAAATAGAACTTTTATTCCTCTTCACTCATTCACTTTCTTCTTAAAAATCTGCTTGCAGACTTCTCCTTCACAGTACAACTCCTGTGGGGAAATAAGTCACAGATCTTTAATAAAATGTCATTAAAATGTGCAAGAATATAAGTGAGATAAAGTCAATCAATTTAGTTTTGTACATTATGTGAAATAAATAGGATTAAATGGTACATATTCATATTCTTACCAGATGTAGCTTGTCCTCTTCAATCCAGTGAGCCCAACCCCGGTTCTTCTTCTCTCCAGTCTGTTCACACACCAGTTTGTTTCCCTCCCATGCCACCAGTGACTGCACAGATCAGAGCAGCAAAGAGAAAATAAATCACAACACAGATCAGTTTTAGAATCACGAAGAAAAGTAAAAAAAAAAGCACAATCCAGAAAACACCTGCAGTCACTATACTTTTTAAAAATTTAAAGCACACTCTTCCATTAGCCATTCATCTTCACCTTGACATGTCTGTTGTCCAGCCCCTTGGTAAACTCTGGAAACTCCTGTCCCACTCTGAAGGGGACGGTGTAGTTTCGGAAGGTGCTGGAGGTTTTGATGATGTACTGGTCCCCCTTCTGCTCAATCACCTTCCTCAGCTTCAGCTTCAGAGCAACCTTTCGTAAACAAGGGCTGATACCTGGAACGACAGAAATGCATTTTAACTGAATGTACGGAGCACAAATCTGGTAGACAAATGCACCCACAAGCTGTGAACACATTCTCTTCCTCACACAGTCCCATGCATACCACTGCTACAAAATCAGAGCCAAATGCTTCATGTGTTTCACTCTTAGTGCTCTATTATATAATGTTGTGTTTGCTTGCAGTTTAGAGCACAATTAAAATAAGTGCAATATAAATGCAGACATCCCAAATCATTCATCAGAGATTTAATATCTGAGAACATTGTTGGATTAAAATAAAGACGAGACTTACCCAGTGCAATCATGTATCCTTCCAAGTTGACATTGCTGATGATGTCCCATGTACCACAAAGGCTGGCTGGCATTTTGATTACCTTTTTCTTCTTTTAGGTTGTGTGTGTGAATAAAATGTGATCCTCAACCTGTTGAGCTGATGAGCAGTTCAGAGAAGAGGCTGCTGTTTTATGAGAAACCTGGAGGTATAAAGGTAGGTGTTGCCCTGACCTCATTCGCTGTCACCTGAAGGCCATGTGAGGATGAAGGGAGGTGATCTCATCACTGCCACTGTGCAGAAGGGAAGCCAGACGGGTCAGACTGGTCTCACTGCACAGTTCACTGACAAATAAATACTTTTATTTTCCCTCAAGTGTCACACATTAATTGCACACAATTGAACATCAACAGGACAACTATGTTTACTTTTATGTTTGGAGGAAGGCTTTTTCCATTAAGGGTAATTATGATCCTTTGTGTTTGGTATTTCATTGTTTTATAGAAGCAGTGGATAGATTTGCATACAGTGTAGCTTTCTGCAAAACAACACTTTATCCATAAAAAAGAAAATAACATACACAACTACACTATACACTTATGGATAAGCAAATACTTGTTTTTTTTGTTGAGGTTAACAATATCTGTGTAATACAAGTCTATTCTTCCATTGCGCCAATCTAACTGTGGAATAAACTGCAAAGCAAACTGGAGTCAGACACCTGCTGTTTGTATGGAGATGGCCTATGTTATAAAAAATGACACACCTTTCTGGCAGATACCCTGGTATGCAGCGTTGGAGGAATTGATGCAACCTTCAGTTTGAAAGAAAATAAAAACCATGGAGCTTGTCCAAACATGATGATACAAGGTACTTGTTGTCCTTGTGACATCAACTAAGCAGAAAGCAGGTTAACAGCTGCGAGATGTAATGTAGAAAAACCTTGTCGGGGTTGTTTTCCATCCAAGACTCTACACATTAGTGACAGACGTTAATCAACATTTTCATACCATAAGCATGACTTTGTGATGTAATGAGCCACAGTCTTAACCCAGTTACTTTACACTGGGCCTTTTAAGTCTGAATGATGGATTTAGCTTTTTGATTTAATCAAATGCCTTCATTGCAACATTTAAAGTAAATGAATTAGGCACAAACTCTGATACTAATGTGCTGTAATCAGTTATACTTTCATTTCAGCACACTGCTTTCACAATGAGTCTTTAGTTTGGCTACACTTTGTTATTTCAGCCATTATCCTCTTTCAGTGATGATTACCGAAAAGATGAGTCAACCCCCTACCTGGCAAATTTTAATCAAGAAGGAAAGGTGTGAGTTTGTCACTTCCTTAACTGAAGATGTTAGCAGTTTCTTTTCTGTGAGACAATAGCATGCTAACAGCAATGAAAATCTCCCATGGTGGAAAACAAAGAGGGTTGTTTATTTCATTTACATTCAATACAAATCAGACTTTCATTTTTAAATCTGCAGCACTAAGTAAACATGTTTAAAACAAGTTATATTGCCTGCTTTTGCCTGAGGGAGTGAATGGGAAAAAATCCTGTTCTACTTACAAAAAATGTGAGTTGAGGAGTATATTGAAGCAAGTGGGAAAAAATGTGGTAAAGTCAGTAAAACAAGTAAAATGTATTTGTTCCTGATCATAGTTCATGTAATACCAAACATACGGTACGCTGTCTACTTCACACAAAATTGTGAATCCCTAGTTCAATAACCACACACTAGCTTTATTTCTAGTAATGCCGTTTAGATGACCTGCTAGTCGGTTGAACTGCTGCTCTCAGTTTTTGACTATTGTATATTTCCACACACACACACAAGCTAGTTTATAGTGAAGTGAAACTGTTACTAAATCACTTTACTCTGAAATATCTATGCAGGTTTATCATATAAAAACACACATTATTAGAAACAACTATTCTGTAGAGTAGGCACTGGTGGAAGCTTAAATAAACCCTATGAACTGTGTCTGGTTTGTTGTAAATTCACAGTAAACCCACAGCACTTCATGTAGACAGCTTCTGTTTCTGCAGCAGTAAACTTCTTCAGCTCGAGGAGGCAGCCGTGTTTCTCTGAAGAGGTGCGAGAACCACGTCTGCATTTTTCCGCTCGCTCTCAGCACTGTAGAGGTCGTTCTCTTGTATGTAGTGAACCACACTGTCTGGTAGCAGGTACCTGACGCTCCGGCCTCGGCGCAGTGCCCGGCGCACGTGAGTGGCTGAGATCTCGTTGGTCACCCATTCGTGGACCACTTGGATGTTCTTGCGATACTTCCACAGCATGTCTGATTGGTGGATGAACTTGTGGGGGTCGTTGCCGCTGCGGGTGATACAAACCAAACCGTAGCGGCCCACAATCTCAGCGATATCTTCCTGCTTCCACATATTGGGGATCCCAAAGGACTCCAGGACATCAGCTCCACACAGCAACATGAGCTGAGCGCCATCTGAGCATGCAGAGAGAAAAGAGTTCTTAATCTTATTTGTATGTCTTAACAAAGTGTTTAAAAGCACTGGTTCTCAACTGGGACTCACATTTTCCCGTGGTCAATAATCGCTAGTCACTTAGACACATACAATTCAAACCAAGGACCTTTTTTTTTTTTTTTTTTTAAATGTCATCATGACCTTTTATTAAACATAAAATATCTAAATGTTTTACTGCATGTTGCTGATTCTTATGAATAAAATATCATAACTGAATAACTACACACAAAATAATTAAGGGCTACAAAACAGGTTTTCACTTAACAGACATTTGTGGAATCTTTTCTGTCGAAACAGAAGTCAGAAATCAGATAGCTAAGCATTTAAATTAGAAAATTAAAATTTAATTTGAAAGAAGAGGAGAATATAACAGTTCGAGAATGGTAAGGTAAAACAACAAGAAACATTAAGTATATAAAGAAGCCTTCTCACAAAAGAATAATGTAGAAAGGGACGTTTCAGATGTCTTGTCTCTAATCTCAGTGTATAGTGTAGTTAAATTATGATGGAGGTCTTTGCTCTCTGTTAGTGGGCAATGCTGGGAAAACCTTGAGCTAGATCAATCAGTGCTCTGCAGACTCTTTTAAAACAAATTGTGATTAAGAGTTGAAAATAGTTATGATTTACTAACATCTTATTGACTCTTGGCACAGCGTTCACTTCTCCTGCTCATGTATATAATTCTGAGCAGTGCAGAGATTCCCACGTTATAAACCTCTTCTCACTAGTGTGAAGAATGTTGTAACATACCTGGCCGCTATGTTCACTATTTGTGTCACTAATGTTCTGAGGCTCGTGACTTGCTGTCTGACACCTCCCCTGTCTTTACTGTAGGTGGTGTGATTGGGTGTCACCTACCACACAACTCTACACCACACCTTTAAGCCATTGTCTCCTGTTATGAGTTAAGCTGAAAACAGTAAATGATGAATACAGTGGAAGCAGGATCCAACTTGTCATGGATCAGGGATCGGACAAGGGAGGGGTTGACTGAGAGAACAATACTTAAGTTTCACAATCGTACACATGACCTACCTCTCTTTTTGTGATGAGATGAACCTTCAAAATAATTCTCCTGTATACGTCTCTTTTTTGCGTACTTGACTGTGTCCACATCATCATTGTTCTGCTCTGCTGCAAGCAGTTCGTCATAGTGATGCCTACGCGGACACAGACAAAATTATTCTAACATTAAAATATCAAGGGAAATATCTGTCATATTGTCAGTATTCACCAACACACTTCCTCTTCATGTCATACGGTGGCTGTGAATAAGAGGTTTTGGGAAATCAAACGGCAAATAAATGCCCTGTGACTTCCTTATGTCTCTGTGAAAACTTCAATCAAATTTCAACTTAAAGTTTAGCTTCATTTGTTTGGAACTTACAGTTTTTTAGATTTTTTATTTACCATCAACATCCAATAATATATATATATTTTTAAATATCAAATTATAAAATTACAATTCAGTGATTTCTTTGTTCAGTAAAATACCCATATGTAAAATCCCTGTTCCTCAGTAGGCAACAGAATTCAATGTGGTATTGACTGAAACACAACAATCCACAGTTCAAACAAGTTTTCTCCTCTTTATACAGGAACATTTAAAAAACAGAGAGTGTGTACCAGCAATACTTTCAGTCTGTCTAATCTAATCCTCCTAATCCATGTTGCCACATTGTGGTAGAAAACGGACAACGTTGTCAACATTTCTTCAGCTCATGTATTGTTTTTAGTGACAAATAATTAAAAGAAAAGGCTGTTAAGGAAAACGTTAAAATGTAATGTCATTTATTGCCCTAAAGAGCAATGATGTCACATATCAAGTCTTTGAAAGCTTTAACCTTGAAAATCCATGTGTGATATGGATTTAGAGCTAGCCTTAGAGAGTGATAGAGTACATGGACTGAAGGGAGACTGTGTGGCACTGAAAATTAAGAACTTTATGATCCTAAGTATAACTAAAAGGGCTTTAATGCACGGTATGTATGAACAGCACAGATGACATGATAAAAGAGTAACTATAATGTCTGGTGAATTCACTTAACATTTGTACCAACTGAACGCAACCATTCATCACGTCGAATCTTAAACTGCTAGAGGGGCTGTAAATCATTAGTTTAACAGTCACTACTACCTGCTGTGGTTATGTCAGATTTGAAGAATGGGTGGCCTGAGGTGTAGTCATTGATGATGAGGAATCAGAGGAAAACAAGCAAGGAAACTGTGATTAGTGCTGAGTCGCCTGATGGGTCGTGTCTCAGATTCTTTGGCAGATTTCCTTACATCTATCTTAACAACTCAACACCCTACTAGCCTTGCCTGTAGCAAGCACATGCACTGCCACTAACAAGGCATACGAACTGTTAACGTACCGAATAACTTTTGCTGTCTCCACCCAATCCGGCTGCAAGCTCTCCCAGGAATCTACTGTGATCCAGTCTGAGCTCTCTGTGGCCAATCTGGCCATCTCCAGTCGGTGGCAGGCCTCAATCAATCCCTTCTTCTTATAGCCATCACCCACCGGAGAGATGATGCCTTTCACCACTCTGTACTGACCTTGGACATTAAAGAAGGGGTGTGAAAGGATGGTTTACAGTAATAGCAAGGGGTTCTGCAGGTTTGAACAGGTTAAATTTAAAATGTTTTAAGACCATTATGAAGCAATTTAAGACCTATTTCACGTTACTTGCATGTCCCTGCAAGTAACATTAAATTCATTAATCCAATCAATGACATTTTTAAGATCTGTCTAGATCACATTTAAGTTATTTTAAGGCCCCCTGGCCCCCACAAATAGATTTTAAGAAAATTCTGAATTAAAAAGAATAATTTTTTATACATTCAAGTCACGATTTAACAGAGTTTCTCACCTCTAGTGGGCTCCAGCAGTGGTGAAATATATCTAAAAGTGCCGTATTTTAAGGTAATTCATTCTACTATTCAACCAGGTTTAAGGGGGACATTGTGCACTTTTTACTCCACTACATTTTGTTTGGCAGCTTTATGGATTAAGATTCTACATTAAAAGCACATGATCCGTTTGTAAAATACGATGCACTGTTAAAGTTTAAACTACCCAACACTACATTAAGTAGTTAAAATGAGCTCAACCACTAAACTATTACAAGTTTATGCATCAGTAATAATAATCTGATAATGTAATATATATCATGATATGACTGACATTTCCTTTAGCAATGTTGCTGCTAATAACTGGTACTTTTTACTTAGGTAAAGTTAATGAATGCAGGACGTAATGTAATAGATATATTGGAGTATTTTACATTATTGCATTCCTATATTTACTTAAGTTAAACTTAAATACTCCAGCCACCTCTGATATCCAGCCACAGAAAGGGTCTAGCTCAGGTTTTGAGGTATCAGCCTCTGAGACTTACCCCACTGCAGTAATAGTACTTTTTCAATGCAGTGAGCACCACAAACAAAATCCCACTCCATTCATGGGGTGGAAACAGAAAGTAAACACTATCTGCGTGGCAGAGATGTGAGGTGAAAGTAATAATTAGAGAGAACCAACCACTTTAAAGAGAAGAGAGAGGTGTAATTCTCATTTCACTCCACCTGTGTCTTCCAGATGATCTCGAGCTAGTTCAAACATCCTCAGGTGCATGTTGGTGACGGGGTTGAAGGACCCACAGGCCAGCAGGACCACTTTGGTTATACTCTGACCCTCCATGCCTCATTCTGGGGCTGGGTTTACTCTGCAACAGTCAACATGAGGAGGAACAACACACACTGTGAGTCGGTCAACTGTCTTCGAGGCTCACATGTGCCACAGTGCCACAGTGCCTCTGTGTCTCCGCTGTACCAGAGTGAATGACTGTGTGGAAACACGTTAGTAAAACCCAAATATAACGTTAGCTTCATTTAACGTTAGCACTTTCATTAGATTATAACCAGTAGCTAAAGTTAGCTTTGACTGTAACCAGGCAACGCGTGCTTGCCGCCATGTCTAAAGGTACAGGTTGCAGACGGAACATGAGCTCAAAACTGAGCTTAGACAACAGAGGAGGACGGTTTCTAAAGAGTGAAAACATGTTAAATATTAATTGTACTACCAGGAGGAACAGCGGCGTTCAGCTGCGGCTGCTTCCTGTACGGACGTTATGGACCACGGTCAGATCGAGAGCTCTGATTGGACAGGACCAACCCGGAAGCAGAGAGCCGCACCCACAGTCAGGAGCTACGTTCACAATCACAAATCCACAAGCGCCTCGACCAACACTGTTTTAAGACCGCATTTGAAAGTATTTTTTGACATTATTTTCACTGAATTATAAAAAAAAGTTGATTCATTTTATTTTAATGTGCGCTCGTGAAGCTGATGCAGATATTTATCTTAGCGCACGACTGATCTGAGATCTGCTTTTAAACAGAGACCCGGTGAGTTGTTTTGTTTTAGCATGCTAACGTTAGCTACTCTGCTAACTGAACAACTTTGTTTCACAGTTGAGGTGAGATCGCTCGGTGTGAGCCTCCAGCACATATATCCAGCCGCGGTTCGTCAATAGTTGGTGTCTCACTAAATGTTGAAGAGTATTGTCGTAATTTATGCTCAAACAACGTCATTCTGAAGCGGTCTACATAGCATGCTAGGTTGACGTTGAGTTATCTGTGGTATACTGTGGCAGTAATACTCAGTGAGACTCATGTCTTGGTCGGCTCTGTTCTGTTTCTGTTTCTCTACAGGTTGGAAATACGGTTTTAACTAAGGATGGCTTCGCGCGGGAAATCAGAAACTGGAAAATTAAGGCAGAATATGGAAGAGCAACTTGACAGACTGATGCAGCAGCTTCAGGATCTGGAAGAATGCAGGTGCACTGTGGAGACATGAGTTAAATACACATGTGTAGAGGCTCTTCACTGAATGATCAAATGTGATTATTGTAGCTGGCAAGCAATGATCTAGTCTGTCATAAAGCATTTCTGTATGTGTTTTTGTGACACTGTTTTGTTTCTCATCCTTTCTTTGTTTCATCCAGAGAAGAACTGGATGAGGACGAGTATGAGGAGACAAAAAAGGAAACCTTGGAACAGCTGAGTGAATTCAATGACTCCCTGAAGAAGATCATGACAGGAGACATGACACTTGTGGATGAGCTCAGTGGAATGCAACTGGTACGGATAATCAATGGATAACTACTGTGTATAGAGGGTGACTTAAAGAGGTTGCAGCTTTTAGAACAAGTAACTTAAAACAATCCACTATTAAAAGGTGATTGGTGAAATGTACATTTTTATTTTTTTTTCAATGTCAGGCGATCCAGGCTGCCATCAGCCAAGCATTCAAAACTCCAGAAGTGATCCGACTTTTTGCAAAGAAACAGCCAGGACAGCTGAGAACCAGGCTAGCAGAGGTTTGTACTGCAACGTCAAAGATATGATTGTGATTGTTTAATGCACAGTTGTTGAGTATATATGTTAAATCCAAATGCTCACTCACTCCACAGTGTCAGTATCTGTGTGTAGCTCGGCCTGAAATTTGTCCAACCAGTGTGTGACATTCTGTGCAGATGGACCGAGATGTCATCGTGGGGAAACTGTCGCGGGATGTGTACACACAGCAGAAAATGGAAATCCTCACAGCCTTGAGAAAACTTGGAGAGAAGGTGAGGAACGCTCACAGCAGAGATGTGATGTTTTTTTCCGTCGGTTCGTGGATGATTCAGAGGCTTGTGCTCATAAATCCACATGAGCTCTTAAAGTCGCACAGACTTATTTTAGTCATGTCACAGCAGCAGGCCTCAATCTAACTTTAGAAAGAGCTGGAACATTTTAAACATGCTATAGTTGTCTGACCAAAGCTTGTATTAACAATTCCCTATTTTTGTTTCCGGCTGGTTTGATAGCTCACTTCGGAGGATGAGACTTTTCTCACTGAAAATGCCACAGCTACTCTGAGCCAGTTTGAAAAAGTGACTGCAAACTTAGGTGAGAATAAAGATGCAATTTCACTGAAATGTTTACTAACAGAATTATTGGTTACACATTAATATTGATCTTGTTTTGCCTTTTCTTTCAGGATCTGAAGACAAGATTATGGCTTTAGCTAGTTCTGGTGTGAAAACCAAGACATAGTAATTCTACGAAATGTTCATTTTAACTCTCTCTACCAAGAAAGCAATGTACCAATTGATCATTGATTTTGTAAATAATCAGTGCACTTCTATGTGTTAACACTTTTTAACAGTATTGTTTTATATCCTGCAACTTTTGTAAATGTCTTTTATTTGTCCAGATAGGTGTAATAGTGTATTATAGGTACGAGCGTGGGATTTGTTGAATATGAAGATGTACATGAATGTGAAGGATAGTCAAGGCAGTTCAAGAGAAATATTCTGTTGTGATTTGTGCTGCGTTTCTTGTTGGTTGCTGTAATGTAATTTGAACTAAACTGTGCTGTGTACAGGGATTAGGACAAAATAACAGAAATACTGCCAGAAAGAGAACTTTGAAGTAACTAAATTACACTACAGAGGCACTAACACTAGTAGGTCAATTTGTATGCAGTACACATACAGTATGACTTGACAATGTGCAGCAGTTCAAACATATCTGACAATCACTTCTTTTAGTGTGTTTTCAAAGCAATGTACATCCAGTTTCCTATTTCAGATTTAAATCTGTTTGTCTTAATAAAACATATGCTTTTTATTGGCCTCTTAAAGTCAGTGTATATAAGAGGACTGCCATTTTGAAAGTGAATTCATCCCGTGCAACTCCAGTATTAAGATGCACGACGAGTTGAAACAAGCGCCAATCTGGATGGAAAAAAAATTAGTCTTTTGACCAGTTTGCCTGGAATGTGATCAGAAATCCTCTGAATGGATTAGATGCCATCTGCTAAACGTTGCGGAGGGTCTTGAGATGGTTTCAGCATCCATCTCATGGGAGTGATTCAGTTTGATTAATAGTCTGTGTGGACGTTTAACAGCCAAGGAACATGAGGTCACTTTACAGTGCCAGATGCATTCTGCACTGTTGTTCATGTCCTCGCTCTGCAGAACGATAAAAAAATAATGAACAGGATGAAATAAAAACACTTTCCAATCTCTTCAAATGCCAGATGTAAGAGTGATTGAGCTGTTTTAGAGAATGTAATCAATGGCTGTTCGAAGGATAGAGTACGTTCAGCACACATTTTAAATACACATTGAGGACTACATCTTGTCTGGTTCTGGATATTTATGTTGTTTCTATTATTTTGTCCGCACTCCTATATTTATTGATTATCAAGCATTTCAAACTGCTTTAGCTGACAGCTATAATTATAAATTTGCAGTATTCAAGTTCAATATTGCCTTCGTATTTCATTTTCATATTTAGTTCAGAAGATGTAGAATTTAATGTCACAATGTTTACACCATTGATCATAATTGATATTCAGCTTTGAATGTTTGTTTCTCTGTAAATAAATCAATGATCATTGTTTTAATTATTCATGTTTTACTTGTTAAATGATGTTGCACCTTTTTGGGTCTTAGATCATTTTTTATTTTCACCACCAGAGGACACTAATGCTCAAGATTTAACCCACTTTCAGCAGCACTACTCAGGGCGTATACCACCAGCACTGTCTACCCCAGTGATACACTTACAGTGTGAGTGATTACTAAGGAAAAACAAGAGCAGACAGAAGTTATACCCCATCTTATCATCCTTTATTTTGTTTACGAGCAAGCATCAACTTCACTACAATTTGCCTTTTAATTGGTAGAAAAGTGAGAGCAGCTCCAACAAGCACAAAGGAAGCATTCAACCGTTCTGAAAACATTGCCACCATCCATTTTGAGCAAATTTTTAAAAGAAAAAAAAATAAACAAAAAAAAAACATTTGGACGTGTGAAACAGACAATCTGAGAATCAGTAGTGTATCACGTCTCCTTCCTCACTCCAGTCTCACAACCCCACATGGAACATACACAAACTTGTGGTTCATGCAAAGTAAATTCCCCTTACATCTTAGTGTTATTACAGTATGGCTGCATTTCAGTTTGTTAGGCAGTGACATTCAATTCAACCAACTTACACTTAGCTCAGGGGCTGATCAGAAAGCAATAAACCCAGAAAACTGGAGATGGTGAAGTCACTGTGGAGACTTGACTTTGGAGTCAGTGTGCACGTATCAGTGACCCATGGTATTGTACTTTGAAACTGTAGATGAAATGTGGACATCGAGTGTTTGACATAATGAAACAGAATTTCGGAGTTGACAGGCTTATAACTCTGGTGAATTTCATGCTGCCCTCAAAATCATTTCTCAACAACTCAGGCAATAGGACACTGTTCAAAATTACCTTCCACTATACACAAATAGGTGAGTTAACAGTATACCCATGTATGCTGCCAAAGCAATTTCATAATGTACTGTACATATTTTTAAAGGTGGATTCCGTCAATGATTTAGTACAATATCTATAGAAGATACAATATGGATCTACTTCCTCTACACATCAACATGGACACATGACATCTATGTAAAACGTTTTTCACTTTTAATAAAACTAGCGGTGGACTATTGTTACGACAAACTGAAAGAAAACGTAATCCCCAGCCCTGTAAGAAATCTAGCTTTAAACAAATACAAATAAAAAACAACAAAATTGCCACAAATAAAAGAGCACGGATGAGTGTTTTTTTTTTTTGTTAGACCTGCTAAATTACGCTATGATCGGAAAAAGGCACTCCCATCTCAGCCGGCTCAGACCTGGCCCCCTTTTTTACAAGTCCAAGTCATCATGGAGGGGAGACTGTTCACTACATTTCCACCACACACCTCTTAAAAAATTATAAATTAATTGAAGCTAAGAGACACAACTGTGCAACTCAAACCCTCAAAAGAAACTGTCTCCAGAAAGAGCCTTGAATGTGATTTTAAATTAAATTTTGGCCTCTGAAAGTAGACTTGCATGCAAAATATGAGACTCACAACATTTCTAATCCTGGAACACTCTGTTCACTTAACTGCCCCGAAATCTGATTTGCTGTAATTAATGCAGGTTTGGGAGACGTTAACATTTTACTTGGTACCCAAAAACATGACACAAACACTAAATAGTTACGTGTGAAGGTACATTTGTGTCTGGTTTTTGTGAAAGATATATACAACAGTGATGGACAACAGTGTCTGAGAGGAGATAGAGGTTGGACACATTTTCCCAATCAATTGTATAAGCTTTATACTAATACCAGATGGAAAATAAGTTTACCAAATGTAAACAAATATCTTAGAACAACTCTACAGTACAGTTCCATGTACAATAAAATCTAGTGGTCTACTGCAAAAAAATATTTCATTTTAAGATTCAAACAAGATTCATTTATAAAGTGTTTTCCTTTTGTAAACTATGCAGTCATACCCTCTGTTGTAATTCCTTAAAGTACGATAAAGACGGTGCTTAATTTGCAAAAGGAAACCAGTTTAAAAATGCATCTAATAAAGGTTTTATTGTTTCAGGTTAAATAGCCGTGCCACTGTAAATAAACTTGCAACAAAGCAATCCTGAAAGTACTTTCATTTCACTTCTCTCCCCCAAAACAATGCCAGCAACTGCACTATTCGGGCTCCACTAAAGCTCCGTCTGTCATAAATCTGCTCTTTCAGTAGTCTGAAGGGTTTTTTCCTTCCTACTTCTGTCAGCAAAGCAGGACTGGGATACGGACGAAGGGCTTTTTAAAGCTGCTGAGGAAATCTCTCGACTTGTCCAAATACACTGGCAGAAATGTTAGTACCCATATTTCCAGATCGACAGCACTACAGTACCTGCTGGCCTGGTGTTTGTACTGTTCCACACAAAATGTCGATTTGTACATTAGCATTTCTCTGAGTATGATTACCCTGAACAAAAAGAAAATCCCTTCTGTACAACAATGAGATCTATTGGGAATGAAATACACTGACACCTGGAGTAGAGCATTGCCACCTGTGCAAGCAAAGCAAAGCATGTATGAAGCTGAAACCATCGACCAGTCCTCTCTACGAGAAAGCAAAAGAACTAATTTTCCTCTTTGCAAAAAAAAAAAAGAAAAGACAAAATGGACACCACTTTGTCATGGAAACCTCCGCTTAACAGTCCTGGGTTTCTCATCGTGAAGCAGACATTTTTGTACAAGCAAGATGGAACAGCTTTTGCAGAAATTTAGCGACATGCTACAGCCTCTGTGACACAAATATTCTACATTACGTACTGCGTCATTTTAGATATTGGACCCCATTGAGTAGGCCTTCACTAACACATTGACTAATTACATGGTTTCTTTATATTTACAAAATCTTTAAAAAGCAATTTATTTCTCTACACATATGACTTCTCAAATAGCCTCATGCACTAAAAGAAAGGAAAAAGAAAAGAAAAAAAGCGGTCTACTTGTTAAAAGCATCATTTTGTTTCACTGTGGACTACAAGTCAAGAGAACTCAAGTCAAAGCTATACGTGAGTTTAGCGGCAAACAAATCTAAAAGCATTACGCAAAGAATATACATTAGGGGGAAAAAATTCTCCATTTGAAAGCCTTTACTTCAGAGAGAAAACAAAAAGTGCAGGGTTGGCTTCCTCACACATTTCAAAACAAAATGTAGGCCAAGTTTTCCTGGGAATTAAAATATAATAAATAAAAAAATAAACAGTAAAAATCAGCAATCCGGTGATGACTACACTACACTGAGTACCACCACTAAGATAACAACAGGAAAACCTTGACCATATATATGTTGAAGGGAATTTTTGTTTTTGTTTTTTGTATTATTTTTTTTTTACATCATGGCTCCTTGGACATGAAACTGTAGGGGGGTGGGGAGTGTGTGTGGAGCGGTGAGTGTGAGTTGGTGATGTGTGTGTCTGTGAGCTTGTGTTGAGTGGTGTGTGTGTGTGTGTGTGTGTGTGTGTGTGTGTGTGTGTGTGTGCTCTGTGTGTGTGTGTGTGTGTGTGTGTGTGTGTTCTAGTGCTCTAGTAGGTGAGGGTGGAGTCGTCCCACTCCAGCTGCTGCTGTCTGCTGGCCCCCTGCTGGTCCTCTGGCTCCCCGCCCTCCTCGTCTTCGCTGCTCTCTGACTCAGCGCTTGTGATGTCATCTTCCTCCTCTCCATCCTCGCTCTCCTCCTCCTCTTCCTCCTCCTCCTCGCTGCTGTGCTGGTCCTCGTACGTCTGCGTTATAGACAGAGGGAGAGAGGGGTGGGGTTGTTTGTGAAGAGTCACTTTCTGAGACTAAACTGCTCCTTCATGTGTTACAGCTTCATCCGTTTTTTTTCAAATAATAAGACCTAATGTTGCATTAACTAACATGCACATATTAACATCCTCCTTCAAATGTGTCTTAGATAACTCTTTATTCTTTTATTCAAAATAGTAAAGCACTCCACTTGTGTTTTAGGTTTTATCAGGAATAAAAGACCACATGCAGGCTTAATTATTTTTCTGATGGTGTAGAAAGCATTTTGAGCCATCAAACATGTCTGAGTGTCTTGACTTGCATTGGTCTGGGACACGTCTTTTTCTCCCAGTGCAATCATGATGTGATGATGTGATCTTATGGTGTTAATTATTCTACATATGTTTGTTGTCAAAGTGAACATATGAGTTTGATTGCAGGCGTGAGCTGCAACATCCCCTGGTGACCTCTGCTGGATGTCCTTCCCCTAAAATGCTCTAAATATTATAAAGAACACATATGGGTTTGGTCTCAATGCAAAACAGTGTGGACGTTGCTCAGTCCATTGCCTGGTTTATGTTATTTTGCTTTTGCCTTTATCATGGCATAAACTGAAAAATGTCACTAATGATTTAAATCATATAGCTGTATAGCAGTGGTGGGCCCTGGAGCCACTTCAATTTAAATTTCAATACAGGAAAATCCTGTAACAGGAAGACAGTGAATTGCACATGGAACACTGATGTTAACCAACCTGACTGGTTTGTGATGTTGGTGTCACTTAGTAGTGTGATGTGATTTTAGGCTGACAGTTGCTTTTTCCTTCAGCACCCATAAGCTGCTTTTAATTTAGAAGATGGTTGTCAGACTAGTTTGAACCTCTCAGCTGGCTGCAGTGGTATATGGGTGTACTTCAGGACACTGTGACATCACTGATGGGTTAAAAGGTACAACAGAGCACATTTCTGAAAAACCCCAGTGGAGATGATACAGGCCTGAAACTTTCAACTACAGACAGAAGCAGATCACTGCTTTTCAACCTGGTGCCAGTTACTGGGCTATTCAGTTATCAGCATGAAAGGGAGAATGATAAATTAGTTGCAGGCCCACATAATAACTCAAAAAGGCATGAATTCACTGTGCAGATATTTATATGCCTGCCTACAAGCTGACTCATTAAAAAAATTCACTTTGGTGTTTTGGAAGACCAAAATATTGGAGCTGCATTCTTGGCTTGGGCACAAAAAAAAAAAGCTCTAAATCTGCATGAGACCAACTGGTTGCAGAAGATGCGATATTGATATACGGGTTCTTTTATTCTAAATAGCAAAACAACAAGTCTCTCTCCTGTGCATGAGCACTCAGATAAAACTAGGCCACAATCATAACATCACCCAGAGAGCATTAGCAGGTGAAAAGCTGTCTAGGCTGCAATCCAACCACATTTAGTTGAGAAGTGAAATTGTGTCGGACAGCTTTTCACTGGCTAATCACCAGAAAAAAGCTCTAATTTTGCCTCTCTGCAAATGTTTGTTTTTACCTCCATGGGGTTGACGGTGATGGTGAGGGCCGAGTCATCCCAGTCCATCTCGTTCTCCTTGCCGTTCTCCTGGTCTCTCATGGTGCTCTGGTGTGCAGCTCGGATTCGGAACACTCCCAAGATGATCATAAACACCAGGAAACTAACGCACACCACAATGACAATGGTGGCGGCACTGGGAACCACTGCGTGGAAGAAAACGCACAAACAAACAAACACAAAATGAAAGGTTAGATGTAAACTATGTCTAATTTGCACATGAGTACGTTCACACATAAAAATCCTGTTAGAGCTTCATGTGGGGAGACGTTGCTTCCATTTCTGTCTGAGGCAATTTCGAGGGCTGATGTTAATGGTTTTTAAGTAAACTGCGGATGAATGCTTTGGGAGCAGCTCTAGGTGAGTGTCTTTAAATAGCTTTGCCTGTCTCCCGCTAACCTGCTCCACTTTACCCCATATTAGCAGAAAAGGGCCTCTCTTGTTCGGTGGCAGGCTTAGTGAGCCTGACAGCCTAGAGGATTACCGAGGCCGGGAAATAAATGGTTGTGCTCCGACCACCGCCTGTACAGATGTCACAGACAGCACTCAAGTGTAATCCCTAAACTTGTGACATTAAAAAAAATAAATAAATGGGCAAACGACCAGTGTTTCATACGTGCCCTACTTCTGGTTAATAGGCTGTAATCCATCCCTAGCAACACTTGCCATACCAGAGGCCAAATATCTTTTCTACAGCAACAACAATTAAGCAGATTACTGGTTTGTTTATGACGTTTGGCAGTAATTTAAGAATATAAAATAAATGCTACAATTGTTTCAGTAAGTTGAATTGTTATTCTTCAAGGTTTCATACATGATGGAAACTAGAAGGGTCAGTGTTACGCCAGAATTTGTTGGTTGGGGCTGAAACTGAAACTCATTCTTTGTGTCCTTTAAGGTGATTAAAATTATTTACTGTTGATATTTGACTTTGGTGATAATACAAGAAAGATGTGCTTCGTTAGAGGTACTTTGTATGTGCTACTAGAAACCTAGAAAAAAAGGAAAACAGTCTTGTATGACGCAAAGGACAAAGACAAAAAACGTGTCACATGTCAGACTCCTGTGTTGCAGTACCTGATGCCTGGTGAGCGTTGACCAGGTTGTGACCAGACAGATCCACAGAGGCATGATGCACAGGGTTAATGAAGTTAGGCTGCACCATGGCATTGTTGGCATGCTCCACAGGATTGGCTGTGTGGATTACATTCACCTAGAGAGAACAGAAACCGGAAACACACATAGATACGGTCACAAAATGCTGTCAATAGATCTCCATTTTACATGTAGGTCGAGTATCGTGAGGGGACACGAGAATTCTTCATTACACTTGCACTCCTCTGTTGTGAATGCGTCACTGTCATGTGACATAACTTACAAGTGCTCAGTCATACCTCGACCTTGAAGTCATTGCTGATGTAGCGACCGTTTAGTTCAGAGCAGACCAGTTTGAATTTCCTGTCAAAGAGAGCCTCTGTGTGCCAGTTCTTGTAACGGATGAGATGCAGGACCTGTTCGTAGTTGGCCATGGTGTTCACACCTGGAACATACAGAGGGGGGCCAATCATCAGAAAGTGTCAGAAGGGCTCTCCATATTAGAGGAAAACAGTATTGTTGTGGAATAGCAGGTTTGTAAAACTGTGATTTTGGGATTATTCATAAATGTATCCTTTGAAATTTACTTTACTTACAGTGGACTGGGTTACTTCAAATCACCCTGGTGTACATTTATATTATATAAGATTACATACATTCATTTGTTTACATGTGAGGACTATTTAACAGATTTCAAAGAATTTACTTCTCATGTAAAGCAGTTATTTTCTACAAAGCAATTATCATATATCAAATTTCTCCAGCCAGAGACTACTGCTATATGCTCGTTTGGACAGCTCTGTGGTCTGTACCAGTGATGACGAGGCCCAGGTTAGAGGAACTCATCTCCAGGCCATGCTGCTGCAGCTGGGACATGTCCACCTCCAGGCCCTCATGCTCCCCGTCCAGCTCATCTCCCACCACAGTCACTTCACATGTGTCCAGGTTGTGCATGATCTCTTCTGACACCACTGTCTCTTGGACTGAATGAACAACAAAGAAAAAAGATTCAGAATGAAGAGCTGTAGAGCTGTCCTCAAGTTTAGGATTGTCCATTGAGCCTGTAATGGAAGAGTTCATTATTAGTAGGCTTGGGTGGTATCAAGGTTTTAGGGTAGACCAGGATATTTAGGAAAACCAGATTGTATGATTTTCAGTCCCATCAAAAACACAGACGCTCCTCTTTCTGGTGGATCGATCTTGGCTGTTCATTTAGATCATTTATTTTCTGAGCACTGACTTTGGAAGTGCGTGGGTATGTGTGTTCAAAAGATGTTCTGCGCTTTGTCTGATATGTTAGTGGTGCTTTATGTTGCCTCTTTTAATAACTGTCTTTTCTGGTCTGTCTATTCTGGATTAAAAACTCTCATTTCACTGTCTATGTTTCTCTTTTTACAGCACGTCATGTGAAATTACTTTTCTCCAACTGCCTCATCTCATCTCCCTTGTGTCACACAGGCTTTGTTGGCTGAGCAGTGTCACATGGGATGATTCTGGGCCGCTAAACTAGTGGTGTAGAGGCTACAAAAACCACAGCAGTTAAAATAGAAATGCTCCGAGATGGTACAATGACTTCCATCCCCAACAGCTCAGCCTTATGGTGGACGATAAAGAATTGAATCAAAATGAGTAAGCATCCTAGATTACACAACGAGGGACTGCACAGTTTGATCATTTGAAATGTTGTGCAATAGTACAGCCCAACCTGAGCTGCTCCAACCTCCCCTGTAATATGTTGTCTGTTATTGTACTACATGTACACACAGTCAACAGTGAATGCTGTCTTTCATCATTAACCACTGCAGGTGGACCACAATAAATACATCCATGTTTAGTGTTAAAAAGCATTATGCTGATACTTTGTTAACAGATGTCTATGTTTAATAATATATCTTCTGTTAATGTATGGTTTATTTTTCTAATAAAAGAGGTTTAAAATATGTAAAACAGCTCAGGAACTCATATACAATTGAAAGGTATTTTAATAAATCATTTTAATTAATTTACTTTATCTTAATAGCCCAACTGAGGCAGCCAGTCTTCTCCATCGTTCTTATGAAACAAATGAATATTTTATGCACACACGGTTTGCACCTTCTGACATTATGGATGGTCCTATTCAGTAATTCTTACTCATCTAGTGTGACATCTCTCATTTGTTGGCTGTGGAAGGTGGGGCAGGGTAATGCAGGTAATAGCAACAGATTTCTGTAAGCCCTTTTGTCCCATATGGCCTGCTGTTCACCACATGACATAGAATCTTCCTGTATCTGTGTCAACCTCAGTGCAAGTCTATTGTCTCTCCTCGTCTTAGCTCATATACAAGCCCAACAGATGGCACGGCTGGTCACTGACCCCTCCCATAAAGTAGTAAACAACTTATCTCTTTTCTCTCACCCTCCCTCTCGCTCTGTCTATCCAATCCCATTGGCCTCTAGGCGTAATCCCCACCGTCGCCAGCTACTGTACATATATACAACTATTAACTGTACATTCACTGTGCCTGTAGACCCATTCACTGTCAAAGGTAATTTAACCGAGGCAACGGATGGGTGTCACCACCTAAGGAGGCACAAGACTAACATTACATATGTGGTAGTGTTAAAGTAGAAATTCAGTGCATAGAAACTCAGAGGATGACAGTTAGCAAACAACACAACTAATCCACTGAAAAATAGGTTAGCTGCATCTACAAATTCATTATCTAAAAACATTATCTGGCAGTAACGTCAGGGCCAAATGTGCATTTCTTTTACCCGTAGGGTCGTCGTCAGCCCCCTCTGCTGCTTCAGACTCTGTGTCGGCCTCAACTTCGCGGGTGATTGTGCTCACGATGCGTAGTTCGGGGAACAGTGTCACGCCTTCCTGGCTCTCGAATTCGGCAGCGCTGCGAGCAAAGTGGTCGATGCCGCTCAGGCTTATCTTGGGTTCCTCGGGCTGAAGGACCATCACATAACCTTCAGCATCTGGCACCGTTACGCAGGACTCCTCGTTGAAGCATCTGGGGGAAAATTTAAGTTTAAATACCTGAGAACCTGGATCCTTTATCAGTTTTTTAATGAAGTTGCTGGCATTTTGAGTAAGCCCTGCTTCAATAATCTAATAACCCTGCCTGTCCGGTTAAGGCAGGGTCATTTTTGTAAACAGATGTAGTTAATGATGTGGAGAATAAGCTTACAATGTAAAAAAAAAAAAAAAAACATATATTCAACACATAAAATGTTTATTAAAGTGCATCCTCTACATTTATTAACAGCTGGAAAATTACCCTTACAGGTATATATAATTTTATATAATTGCTCAGTCCACCCAATAAAACTGTGTTTATGCATATTTATGCATATGCAAATAAGAACTCATGTAAAACTGCAACACTAACTGGAACTGATTTTGGAGCAGGCTCAGCAGAAACTTGAGTCTTAATATATTCTTATTATACCTCATGTGCAACTGTAATGCTGTTCTGTTATTCACATTTTAGTGTTCACAAAATATACATCAGAGAGAACTGAAAAGCAAAATACAGAATCTTACAGCTCTTTTGCCTCTGTCATTCTCCCATCCCGAAAACCTTTCATGTTTACTCTTTGGTATGAAAATCAGGTAAAACTGACCTCTATTTTACCTCTATAAACCTTCCTTACATTTAAAGTAAGAAAGACAAACCCTATCTATCAGGCAGAAAGAACATGTTCCACAAACATTGGGCTGCTGCTGACTGACAGATGAGGTGACATGACGGAGAACGAGCAGAGAAGATGAAAACTACTGGTGAAGTATTTTTGGCCCCTGCCACTTACTTGACGGTGGTGGAGATGCGAAGGTGCCTGATGCCAGGTGTCGGGAACTGGCGGGAGTTCAAGTAGGAGATGTGCTGCATGACCTTGTCAAAGGCATCGATGTCGTCACCCTCAACGGTCAAAGAGGACTGGTTGGGGTTGAACTCCACCTGAGAGAAGAAATAAAGGCAACCGACTGATTTGAGGCAAGATTGTCTCCTGATGCTATGCTTACACATGAAAATATGTTAGTGTGTGTTGTCTGGCTGACACTAAGCTATTCATAAAATATCTGTTTTGTATGTGCAAACAGTGTTACATAGAAAGCACTTATATCCATTAGAGATGGTAAGATTCACCGATTTGAATTGGAGCACCAGCATAAAGGTTAAATCTTTAGTGTATCAGATCGTTGTTAACGTATCAGGACACATATAATCGGCCTCAGTGATGGAGATCCCCAACGCTGCATTCACATGTATTCAGACGGTAAATAGCAGACAGACAACACCTTCTGGATGTGAAAAACAGCCTGACAGAATGACAGGACGGCAAAACAAAGCATGCATGACAATATGTTTCTATGGTGATGTTGTATTGTTTACAAGGAATATTCATACCTATTAAAAATAGGTATAAATATAAAAATGCATTAATTAAAATGATTGCTTTGCCAGCCAGCCACTTTCAACCGAGCTGCAGTTTTATTGTTAAATACTGAATATTACCACCTCTTCAGGCCTCTACAACCTGTTCTTTGTTTGAACTGATCACAATTCACACTTTTGAAAGGAGTTGAGAGCACACTTTGCTTATCCCAATTACAAGCCTAAAAGGTTTGGAGCCACTGAGAAGGACCATTTTTGATGCACAAATATACTCCACAAATATATCCAGCCTGACTGGGGCTGAGTGTGATTGTGCAAAACATTTTGCCCTTCTCACCTTAACAGCTGAAGCTACCTCCTCAGGCAGCTGCACGTCCAGTCCTTCCTTGCAGGTGTACAAACAGTCGATCACCTTCTTGTTCTCCAGCTTGCCAGAGCGAATCATCAGTCCTGCTAGGTTCCCCCGGAAAAACTGAGCCATTCGAGCATTTCCGCCTGGGTACGTCAGGATAGAGATGAGGAGAAGAAACGTTACTCATCCTAAGTGTGCATTCCACAGATTTCACCTTTTCTGGGCTGGAGATTCAAGCATGCCGTCTCAATGTGCAAAGCTGGAGTGAATGGCGATCATGCAAGTTAGTATGTGTGCCCTTACAAGGCCTGAGGCCCAGTGAGGGACACAGGAGAATGATGGATGAGCTTACACACGCCTTAGATACATGCAACATCTGCATTAACAGGGTGAACCGCTGCCTAAAAAGCGGAAAAAACAAATCCAGAAAAATAAACAGAAAAAAATAAACTCAAATTAATCCTCTTCTGTCACCTTTTTTCACAATAAAATGGAACCATCTTGAGGAGTGAACAATGCTTAATATACACTATGATTCCAATATAACTTAGTATTTAGTATTGCTGTGAGGTGCATTAATCCTGCCTAAGGAGAGGTGAAATAATTGTGTCGCATCTTCCTGCTAAATCTCGAGCAGTCTGTGCAGCTGCAGAGTCAGAGACAAACCTGGACCAAGGTCCCAAAGTCATCCAGTGATGTGTGTAAGAGTGTGTGTGAGCTTTGTTATCTGATATGGAGGAGCTGCAGCTTCTCACCCAAAGGTCATCTTCTGAAAGAAGAGCCTGCAATGCCGAAATGCTGCAGCCAGGTTAGAGTTTTGTGCTCATTATATGTCTATTTCTGTTCTGCTTGTGTGAAAAACAACTGCTGCAGTCAGAAGAGCGTATAAATGGAGAATGAAGAAACACGAAAAAGAACGCAGGCAGCATTAAAAATTACACCAGTCTCATCCATACTGCATCATGCTCCAAACAGTTATGAAAAAATAAATCCTTCTGCATCTAGAATGTGTAAGAATCATTCTAGTCGAAATGGTATGAGGATGCAGTTAGCGTGGTGGGACATTTTGGACAAATGGACATATCTGAGGAATAAGGGAAAGATTTGAGCAACCTGAGGTGGGCTCAGAGACTGACTCAGTGTCATTGTCATGTCCTGAGTTGTCTGTAAAGGACAGAAACAAGAGAGCAGGGAGAGACAGGGAGGAAGGTTGAGGATTCAGATGCTACATACAAGGTCATTGTGCATCATTTGACAATTTAAGAAAGAGTTAATAAAATAACATGCACCGTACATTTTTACATAAGCTGTAATGAACAAATATAACAATTATCAGGTAGCATTAGAGTATCTTTTTACTATTACAACCAATAAAAATATCAAATGTTCAAACATCTGAACCATAAGCAGTCTTTCTTTACTATTTATATGTGTGTCATTGATACATTTAGTCCCACAAGAGAATTATGGCTCACTTTATTTTACAGCATTCCTAAAAAAAAAGAAAATAAAAAAAGTTTACCTTGCCAACAGGCACCAATAGTGAGCTGAGTTTCGATCTTGGATGCATGCAGTGGGTAGTCCTCTGTAACCAGGAAGGGCTCAAAGGTAGTTCCATCCACAAACAGAGACACAGTGGGGAACTCCACATTCAGCACATAGTGATGCCACTCTTTGTCACAGACCTGAAGAAGAGAAGAACACAACGGGGATGAAAGCTGAAACTGGGACTGTGAAAGTTACATATTATTACTGTATAACTTTATTCATAGTTACATATCATGTGTAACCGGCTATAATTCTCTTAAACTGCAGCTGACCTGGTCGAGTTTCCAGTGAAACTCGGCTGGTTTGTAGTTCTCGGCCTCTGATGGATCCTGGCGGAGGAGAAGGATCAGCCGGCAGTTGTGGACGTAGAGCGAGTAGTGGTGTCTGTTCATCTCTGCAGCACAGAATGAGAGGAGAGATTAAGGTATGAAACTGAATATGTGAATATTTGGAGGATGGGTGGCGATTATTTTTTAGACTGAAAAAAAGACATTTACTAGTATTAGTATAATTTAAATATATTTTAAAGTGCTGAATCTTCTATAGAGGCCATGCAAAGCAAAAAGAGAAAAATCTTGTGTAGCCTGTGGTATGACTATTATATTTACAACTGATGACTACACAAAATATGGCAGTAAATTATTTGTAAACATTGTAAGTGACAAGCACAAGCTAGCAGAAATGTGCCGAATGATTGCACTAATAATATCTCATGCTACCATGAACAACGTGCCTCAACAGGCTCTCACAGCAGTGGAAAAGAACATTTTGAAACCAGTTCCACAACCAGTTCTTATTAAGTATTATACAATTATGGAAATGCAACTACAGGAAATTTTCTTGAAGGAAGCCATCAAAAACAACATAGGTCCAAAAGTTAGGATTTATCTGCACAGATGTAGTCTTCGTACCAAATAACCACCTGGCTGTTAATCCATGAGATCCAAGAGATTTATAGTGTTTTTTATCACTATGTATTTTTAGACTTAGTCTGTTACAAAAACTTACAAAAAGCTGTGATGTCATGTGCTATAATTAGAGCGCACCAAGTTATTATAGGTCTGGATAATTTAAATGGACTGTGATGTTATCATCTCTTTACAGAGCTCAAAGGCTGCATCTGCCCCTTATTTGATTAGGATAATCAATATCAACAGAGCACCCTTTTAAGAACAGAATAACATGCTGTGTTTCAGGAAAAGGATTCTGGTCTTGGACTGGAAAATGACAGTGTATTATCCATACGTAGGGACAATCGTGACTCTAGTAACATCCCTGGCCTTGGGTGAAACTAAATGCACTAAAGCAGAATTAACTGCTAGTGTGAGACATTTCATCAATTACTCAACTAACAGGAAATCAATTCTATACTAATGAATGGAAAATGTTCATGTAAAACCATGACCATGTGCTGGACCCAGCATCACAAATACTAAGATGTATCGGCTTGCTTTTGGTTTTATAACAGTAAGATGGTTTAAGACACACTGGTGACTTCTGACGTGATGTGATTAAAAAATAACCAACCATTTCACCCCTTCTATTGTCCAAAATGTAACGCCCATGTTTCAAAGTTTTAGTGTTTCATATGTAGTTTTATTTAGTCTTCATTAAGAACTGAAGACTAAAATGTAGAAGAAATTGACTGAATGTGAGATATTTATGTGCTGAATGAAGGTCATGAATGTTGCTGAGATCACGGGTATGGGAGCTTCCTATCCAGGGGACAGCCGCTCTGATGTAATCCTTCTTATATAAGCAAGTCGGACAGAAGCTGATGAGCTGCCTCTCCCTGGCCATGGCAGAGACTTTACTGTCAATAAGATCAAGGAGCTTGTGGTCGTTGCAAAATTTACAACTAGTAACAAAAATGGAAAGGTCAGCGGGGACTCTGCAGAGGTAAGAAAGAAAATATAGATATATAGAATGAGCCAGCTGAGCACCAACACTGATTATAGCCCGAAGTTACAATGTTTCTTTCATTACAGGCATTGTTTCAGACACCATATGGGCAGCAATAATGAGTTGCCACTCAAACAGTTAATGCAGGTTTTGGTTCCTTCAGTAGATACCAGAAATTTTAATGTAATACAGTGTGCTGACATTTTCAGATGACTAAGTGCATGTGTGTCTTAACAATACAAGTTTTATGATTATTTTTTGTGCTGCTTCAATGTGCTTCTGGCATGTATGTCTAACGACCCAATCAGTAGTTTTTTACTATATAGATTTTTATAAATAACCCTGCTGTAAACAACACTTTAACAACATCATAAACTTAAACTTAAGCAAAATAACTTTTAGTTTACATGAGCTCATGTTGTCTTTGTACTAGATATATAATTATAGTGGGTCAGTTTGGATTCTTATTCTTTAACTATGGATGTTTATTGTGTGTTTTTACAGTTGACTACCTGCAAACCACCTTCACCTTGTGAAACAATTTAACTAAAAGTCAAACTGGAGCTTTGACCCAGTTCAGGTGCAGCTAAAATAATTTTTTACAACAACAACTTTATTCTCTGGGAGTCGTTACCTGTCTTGTCAGAGTTGCAGAGGATGGTCTCCTTCTCATGGGCCCCGGGGCCATGTCTCATCCATACAGAGATAGTGAAGGGCTCCTTCAGGCTGGTGCTCACCATGCCGTCAGGAACCTTAATGGCCTGGGTGCCATTGAACTCAAACACCTGGTCGCTGTCGTGCCCATTATCGGTGGGCAGTCCTACCGTCCAGTTGGCGGAGCTGCTGGGTGCAGGCAGAAGCTCCACAGTGCCGGAGCTGGCTCCTTCCAATCCAAGGGGAAAAAGGCAATTAGATTGGGCACTTGGATTTATCAAAACAATATTTTGATTCTAATGATGCTCTACTGACAATAACAATTGGTTACTTACCACACAGCTTGTGCAGAGATTTCTCAGAGTAGGTGTCACGGTCGCAGCCCTTTCCAATATGGTTGGTTTCCAGTTCAACACTGGCTCGGATGGATGTGATTGGCTCATCACAGGTCTCCAAGTGCATGCTGGGGAAAAGGGCCAGGCTACCTGTGCCAGGCTCATATTCAATCCTCTTACTGAAGCCTGAAAGATGAAGCAAGAGGGAGGAAAGAATGTAAAGATGTCCTTCAGCACAGCACAGATAACCTGTGAGCAGTCAATACAGGGGCTGTCAATAGTAATTACCCATTAAGGAGTACTTAAGTTCTTTCAGCCATGATAAAAGGCCTTGTGGCTTAAGGGAGTTAAATAACCTTTTTTTTTTTACGACAACCTGTGTGCACTGTGCGTCGGTGGATCGCTTTTGTTCAACACAGAGACACACCTGAACAGTGATGGTTGGCAACTACAGCGAGTAAAGGGGAGCTTTGATACCTTGCCAGCTGGGTTTGCAGGTGGGCTTGACGCTGATCTTGACCAGAACATCCTCGGAGGCACGGTTCTTTCCACAGTCGTAGGCGGTCACAGTCAGCTTATACATGCGCTCTTTGCCATAGCTCAGTTTCTCCGTGTTCTTGATGAAGCCTGAAGAAAGCAGGGAATAAAAGTGAGTGCCAGGGCCGCTCTTTGTTTAATTTCAAAGCAGCAGATGTGCTAGGAAATGTATAAAAACATTTTGAGCTGATAAGTAAAGAGAAAAATAAAAAACAACTGTATTTTTAAATATTAAAAAGAGAATAGAAATCTTTGCCAAAAAGTGATTCACTCTCAAGCAGAACTGAAAGCATGATATATTGATTGTTATATTGTAGGGCCACATCGTAATATTTTCACCACCAAGCTAATGTGTGCACAAAGTCTCATTAGCATGCAAGTAATTAAAAGAAAGTGATGGAATTTGTTTGACTGAGATCAGATCTCATCTCAGGTTTGTTTTTCCACCTCAAACACTAATCAGCTGTCATGGTTGAGTACCTTCACCAACATTATGTATCCTTCACACTCATTGTTTTCGCCTCTCTGTATTTCATTTTCCTCAGAGTCAGGCGTCATATCGCTGAGCCTAGATATCTGATGTATTTTTTTTACTGGATCTTTCATTTTGTTTTACAGAACACAAAAAGATAAATAATCCCACAGTCCGTCACAAATGACGGGTGACATTACAAGGAGACAGCCATCGCCTCACAAGGCAACAAGCTGCGTTTAATTCTAAATAAGTAGTCTTGCTGCACCATTGTTTAGACAATGTGATGTGTGTCAATAAAATTCTGGCTCAGTCATATCCAGACACTGACAGGCAAGACAAGGCTGCTAGGTGTAGGGGCCTCACCATCTTTGTCGACGGTGAAGGGCACGTCAGGGGTGACGATCTCGTAGTTGCAGATTTGGCTAAACTGGAAAGAGCAGTCGGCGTCCACTGCCTCCACCTTCAAGATGCTGTCATATTTCTTTCCCTCGATGACGGTGGCTTTGTAGGACTTCTCCTTGAACACCGGTGAATACTCGTTGATGTCGTTCACCTGGATGTGGACAGTGGCCCTGATAGAGACAAGTTAGGACACTATTAGCTGGGGATGTTCAAAGACAAACTTACTTAATAACATTATTTTAACCACAGCAAGATATTCTATTGTCACATTCAATGATGACATGATATAAAAATATACATATGAACAGAACTGTCATGATCACTTTCACATTCACACCTGTAATTTGGTTCAGTTGGTAACAAAAAAATCATCACACACTTTTGCCTTTGACTTCTGGTCCATTTCATGTTCAGACTGACTTATTACAAACACCAGCAACAGAAGATTTAACAAGTCATATGGACCGACAGGTAACTCATTCATCTGGCAGTTTTGGTGACTGTTATCTTGCATCATCAGTGCCTCATTGACCAGCCTGGAGAAATCAAATTCTGGTGACTGAAACCAAGTCAAGTGGCGCTTTGCAAATTGTTCACAAATGATTAACTGATTTTAAAGCATTCTTAGTCCCGACGACAACTACAAATCAGTAGGGCTGCAACTAACTTATTATCGAGTCTAGCAATTATTTTCTCAGAAATATTATAAAATAGTAAAAAAAAGTCCTGTTATTATTCCCCACAGTCCATGGTGACATCTTCAAATGTTTTGTTCTGTGTAATCAACAGTGTGAAACCCAAAGACATTAAGTTTATGCTAATTTATGACAGAAAAGCATCAAATTCTCACATTTGACAAGCTAGAAACAGCCAATGTTTTTGCCAAACAGAACACAAGCTCATAACATGTTTTAAGCATTTTCCCTCAAGTCCTGATGTAGACTCATGTTAGCATAGTTACTAAATTATCTTGGATAATTATATGCATCGCTTCTGACATCACCCCCTTGACAGTTTGCACAATCGGCAAAGACTTAATAATAGTTTACATTTTAAATTCCTTGTAAAAAATACACATATCTACTGTCACACAGTCCTGTGGCTGGTTGTTGCTTTCATATCAAAAACCAACCAAATGCAATGGAGTTCATACAAACCACAAGCACCAAAAAATTATTCTACATAAATACAAGAGAGCAGGTTTCACTTTTATGTTTAGTAAACAATCAGTAGTTATAACATTATCATTTGCTTTAATGTGAATATATGAAAATACTTTTATTATGACTGCACTATGATTGTTTTATCTGCAGTCACACTAAACAGAATCTTGGTTCAGATTGGGGACAGACACTTCTGAACTGGCAGATGTTGACTCACTTGTGGGATTTCTTCATGTTGGCGCCATCGGGACCCTCTCCACAGTCGTAGGCTTGGATGGTAAAGGTGTGTTCCTTCTGCAGCTCACAGTCCAGCTTGTCTTTGGCCCGGATGACCCCCTCGCCAGTGGACTTGTCCAGGACCACTGCCTCAAAGGGGACATTCTGCCCGTGGATCCTGAAGCCGCAAATCTCACCTGAACACGTCAAGAGCCAAAAGAGAGTTTGCTCAGAATAACTGACGACGGGTGTCAAATGTTAGTGTTCAAATGAAAAATTATATTAAACACAACAAAACCATAAAGTCACGCAAAAAAAAAAAAAAGATCAGCCACAGGTATTGGGTGCCAGGGAGTTGTAGATTGGGGTGGGTGGTGGCTGTGGAGGAAGCCCAAAAGCACTGTCATATGGGTGAGTACTTGGGGAGGGGGGAGTTGGGAGAGGGTGTGGGACATTTAGTATCATAGAAGACGGAGTGTCTTTTCCAAGCCACTTGAAAACATTGCATCCAGTCATGCAGGCAGAAACCGAAAAGATGTGGACAGGCATTTCACAGGAATACTTAAAATATTAGAAATCAAAGTCATGAAACCAAGCCCAAAACGTAAGTACATAGAGAACAGTATCTGAAGTGAAGATCGTTTATCTCTGTAATGAATAAAAATTACAGCCTCTCTTATAATAGAAACAATAATTAACATAAATAAATGAAATAAAAACAAAAGAAAACTATTTACAATAGAGCATTATAGCATTGTGTTAAGGTGATCCAGCACCAATTCAGTCATCAAAACCCGAAAAATGTCTGTGAAAGAAAATAAAACTCAAATCAGACAACACCTCAGAAAATTTTGTAATTAAAGAAAGTCTTCCTGTGTAATTTTGCCTCTTGCCCAAAACTACTGCAAAATGAATCCAAATAAAATCATAGAGAACGTAACCGCTACAATAACAATATTCAAACAAAAAAAGTACTGGATGAGAACTGGGGTTAGAAATATCAACTTGCTTGACATCCACATCAAATGACAACTGCAGCCATGCTAATGGTAGAGATTAGTGGTGGAGAATTAACTCAACAGATCCACTGAGGCAAAGATGCAACAACAGAAACTTTGTAGCAGAGAGAGTTTGCATTAGTTAACAATCTCAGCAGCTTTCAGTTGAAGACTGTCAGAAAAGTCCACAGGAGTCACTGTACCTGCATTGTTCTGATAGGTCACAGAGAGGCAGCATGAACACGGATGATGCCTTTAAGATGTTCACATTTTTAAACGTTTTATTCTCTTTGAAAACCAATTCTAATGCCAATTTCCACTCCAATTTTCATTAGTAGGTCGTGAAATCATCTTATGTGTCCTTTCAGATTGTACTTTCTTATTAAATGTGTCAAAATTGGCTTTTCCTTCCATACTTTTCAATTGAAAGGACTGGATTGAACAAAATGGCAGCAAAGTGACTGAAAACTCCTGTTTTAAAGCAGCTTTCTGTTTCCTGGTGACAGCTGAAAAACTGTTAGGGTCTGCAAACTGCAATGGATGTCTCATGCACAGATATTTCTAAGTACAGTCAGCCCCACATCACACTTTTCATCCAGCTGTTGGAACTCCAAAAAATTTAGGGTGAGAAAAACATAATGTCGAGAAAATCAAATGGGGAGATTACAGAGCATGGCGGGAGTTTCTGTGTAAAAGTGTGGATGCTGTTTTTGCGTTAGTGGGTTAATAGTAACAACTAAGCACAAGGCAAAGGAAAGAGCCCGAGATCACCTTCTTCAGTTAGGGTCACCTCAAAACTCTCTACAGGGAAGGGAGAAAAGATAAACCCAGATCAGTTAAAAGAAAAGTTAGAATTGCAGAGAAAGCACAGAGAGGACAGGAAGGAAACAAAGTCTTGCTATAAGCTTACAGAATCACCATCAGAGAAGCTCATATCCAGTTTCTCATAAGCAAAAAGTCTTCTGCCAGTTGAAAGAAAGGAAAAGGATTAAAACATTTATGAAAGGCCGGTTGTGTTGAAGTCTTGGCAGTTTTATTAATGGCTCAGCAAATCCTTTTAGGAGAAACAGCTAGTGGAAATGACAGAATAGCAAATTACAACCAACAGAAATCTCAGTTTTTAATGTCAGCATGTTTTAGAGGTTGCTGGACAGTCAACAAGTTCATCTTACTTTTTAAGACACCGCACATATATTTTCTGGATTGATTAATTCATTTTGATAATAAGATAAAAAGAGATCTTGGGAGTATACATTAATAAAATGATTAAGTCATTTTCTGGTTGGCTGTTTGTTTTAAAGCCCTGTCAGGGCCTCCAGTGGGTTGGACCTGGTCATTTTGTTTTCACCTACTAAACAATTAGAAATGGATTTCACATTAGAGCCTGCTGTTCAGAGCCAGTCATGCAGTGGGAGTTGTGGGCCTCTGTGTTTACCACAGCACTAATGACCAGCTCACACCAGGGCTTTAGGAATTCCTCTGCTTTTCACTTGTCACACAGGCCTCTCAGCTCGGGCCGGGTCAGCCATCACAAGGATTGTTACATACTGATTTTACAGTCTTGACCTGCAGTGGTAATTTATACATAAATGTGAATTATAATCTGTGAATATTACTTAGCCAATAGGTTGATATGCTGTATATCCAGTGGCAGCTATAGAATCCATTTACAGGAACTGTGTTGCAGAAACAAGGATATTTTCTTTGTCTAATGTTCCTACATAAATCCAATAGCCCAGATCTGGTGGGTGAATGCTGCCTGCTTTGTGTTCCTCACTTGTTTCAGAGCACAGTCATCCATGAAGTGGAAGAGCACTGAGCTCATTTTCAAGTTTGAAGGGCTTTGGTTTTCAACTATTTCAGCTCCAATCGTTCCCACTGAACTCACCACACAGACATGTGCAAACACACAGAAAGACACACTTAAAGCCAGTTCCACAGTACATCACTCTAATACACATACATACTCATACAGTGGCTCCTCACTCATGCTAAATATTTACCTAATCACACTGATCTGATTTGAGAACCTGTGACTGGGCTTGTTTGGCCTGTGGGTCAGCTTTACAGTGAACCTTGTTTGTTGGCACAGATGGACTGGCTAGAAGGGAGGCTGGCACGACAGAGCCGGTCACCCCTGCTGCCACGTGAAGCCAGATTGCTTGCCCTGTCTCGAGAGAGCTAGTTCACAGGGACACGCAGTCTATTTGCAAAGCCCTGCTCATCAAAAAAGGGAGCCCCAGCCGATAGAAGCGAAGGACCAAGCTCTGTATTCAACGCTAATTTACTGTGAAAGGAGGCAAACATTATGCAGAGAATGGACATATTATTCAATCCCCTGCTCTTCGGAAATGATGGGCCTCTTGCTGAAGTTGTCCACCTTAAAAAGTACGTGCCAATCAACTCTAGAAAACAATCTAATTTCCCGTAACTTTTTAACATTTGGCATCCCCTCTAAACGCCAAGTGGATGTTAAAGCCTTACATGCTAAATCAGGAGTAGAAACTTGAGATAAAAATGGCCATATCAAGTGGAGTGAGAGCGCTGAGTGTGAAGGGAGCAGCAGACAAAAGATCACACAACTCATGTGATGTGAAATGGTGGGAAATCATTTCCAGTGCTGTGGTGCTTTGAATCCTAGCCAAAGTCAATCCTGATGTGATTAAAAACCCCCAGAGCTAATGTTGCCTTGGTACGTAAAGCACACTAATTGTGCCTCTCCACTGGGAGGGAGGGGGGAAAAAAAACATGAAAGAGTATTTTGATCTTATTATCAAAAGGGGCCAATCTGGAGGATATGGTAGCCAGCTGTATGTCTGTATGACAGGCTTGTCATAAAAATCTAATGCGCAGAATGCCATCAAGCCACATAACCCGCCATGAGAAGTGCAAAGTCATTCCCTCCTTCACTGCTGAGTCAGTGAACATTTGATTTATATAAGCGCATGTATAATCTCAAATAGATATATCACACAGAGTTATAGATAATAAAACACCCTGAGGAGCGAGGGACCCTCATATATTAACCATGACCTGATGCTTTCCAAAGCTTTCTGTTTAGACTGGATTTTAAATTGTACTTCCATGATAAGTAAAGCTGTTTTCAGTTTCATTCACAAGAATAATTAGTTCAATGTATCAAAGAGATTACATGTCTTTAAATGTACATATCAAAGTCCTATGAAATTTACATTATTCATACATGAGCAGTCTTTCTGCATCCATCACCTGTAACACAATCTCAACGCTTTGATGGTACAGAGTAACTAGTGTGTTTTCTCTTTTATTTAGCCTAAAATGAGAGGAGAGTAAAGTGAAGTTGAAGGAGTAAAGGAATTGCAGTAGCAGCATTAAACCTCCTCTCTCACCTGCGTAGCGTAGAGGAGCGTCCTTGTCCAATGCAATTAGAGGGGGGTCCAGGAGTACTTTGTCGTCGTTTTCCGTTACGATCCCGTGGTACGTCGTCTCGATCCATGGTTTGTGCTTATTGGCTGTGAGAAACAGAGACAGGAAATGTCATTATCTATAAAAAAAAAAAAATCATTTTTGTTCTGAGGTGAGATTTCTTGATAGGCAGGTTGTTTTTCTCTCACCAGCACTAATTAGCAATTCACGTCTTTTTTTCCCTCTGTTTTTAACAATCTGATTTCATCTGTGATTTATAAAATTGCAAGTTTGACTTTTATATTTCCTCCCACTGCAGCTTAAGTAAATTTTTAATGAGGTTTTGGGTGCTTTTAATATTATTTTTAGAAGCACCACACATAATGAAGGCATCCCCTACAAGCATAAACCACGAGCCAGGGAGAACCAAGAATGTGCACGGTTTCAGGGCAAACTAAATCGGTTTCAGAGGGAACTAAATCAGCTGCACGTCATTCCACCCTAAACACAATGTACTTAAAATGATATTGTTCGATTTACCCAAATTGGATAAAAATTCTTTTAAGATGATAATATGACAGCACTTTCTGCGTCAGTAACGTTCCAAGAAACAGACAGAACAACAATCCATGTCAGTTAATGAGTTTTGAGAGGGGTATCACAGGGATGATAAAGGCTCTGGCAATGACTTTCAGGCCGTTTGTGGCGCAGGAGTTGGGCAGTTTACAGCTTTGTGGGGTAGTTGGCCTGGGAAGCATCCCAGCTGCAGACAGGACTGTGTTGTAGCTGGCGGCTGCAGAAAAAGCTGCAGTGACTGACATATTTGGGCTGGCTTAGAAAACAGCGTTGACGCAGGGGAGATGCAGCTCTCTTACAGCCAATATGTGCTCACTCCAGAGCAACGGGAGAGGATGGGATTCTGTGCAACTGATCTGCAAAGGTGATGCTAACTCTGGCTGACAGCGCACTGTGTGGGACAGAAACACTGGGAGAGGTAACCGGACCGAGCACATTTCCTGACAAGACATTAACATCATCATACTGTATATATTACTCTTTGGCTGTATTTTGGAATGACAGTTTTTGTGTGCACACAATAACATGTTAAGTTAATCAGGGCTGCAGACTGCAACCATTACATAATTGCTTTATGCCAGACTTGTTTATAAGCATCTCTGCTTTTTAATCTTTGATCACACTTTTTAGTTTTCTGAAAGAAAAATATATTTAGTTTTTTGAAGCTAAAGAACATTGGAAATCCAGAGCTTGTTGAAATCATCTGTTCGGTTCAGGGATGCTGCCTCTCTGCCCTCATCAAACCCCCACTGTCCTTATTCATAGGGTCACTTTCAATGTAAATAGTCAGATAAATTCAATGTGGCCCGGTCATGTATTGAAGCTAATCCATGCAAACGATGAACTGCTGTAGTAGCCTAAACAATCAACGGGAGGAAATCATCGACCACAGTAGAATAAGCATGTGGCCCAAACGTAATGTAGGAAACTGTTCTGGTTATATAATAATACAACTGGGGTTAACAATAATCTATTTAATAATTCATAAAGCACATCATTTTCCAGTGGTTATATGGGAGCGTTATTTTGGATTAGTGGAAGAACATTACAAATGCTACAAGTTGTCACAAGTATCAAAAGCACACATTAAAGTTGATGAGCATGTTCTCCTATTAATTATACCACTGCAGGACAAGGTTACGCTGCCAAGCTTCTTAAACAAAAGAGACTCTAACTGTGTATTTTGTTATTATTCTACCAACAGCACTCATTTTATTTATTTCCAACTCCTTTTATTTGCCATTTTAGTAGGAACTTACAATGAGCACTTGGATTTTGTCGCTGTCCACGAGCATAATACTTGCACACAGTCAGACAAACAGGTAATTACTCAAATGTGTCTTGGCCTTTATTCTTCAACAGTACCAGTACGTGCTGTAATTATATCATGTGGCAAACTGTACTTCTGTTTTCTGAAATAGAATCTTTTTGAGGTTTTTAGCTATTTGACACTGATGAACAATGCAAAAACCGGTAAGAGTTTGTGAATGCAAATGCTCAATATTACCAGCTTCATTACTAACTGAAGCACATCCTCCAGTCCACGTTTATCCAATTACCGCTGCACAATGAAACATTCATCTCAACAAGCAACATTATTTAAAGAGACAGTGGATTGATTACTGTGTCTCTTTTGCAAAATGCTGGTGCCATTTAAGCAATTGTTGAGGCTGCCAAATGAAAATGTTGTGCTTGTAATATTCCCACAGTTGTATATACCGCCTGCAATCTTGTGCATTTAACTGTCTGAAAATTAAAATAATATGCTCAAATTACACAGTACATCCAGATTAATGTCAGTTTTTACAGTTAAAACTTAATTGGAATATGTTTTGAATGGTGAAATTAAATCCATAGCCGTGTCATGCTGCAGAAATCCTCAACATCATACGTTCATCCTCTGACTAATAAGAAGAAGCCTGCTGTTCTATAAGGCAATCTCTGCTACAATTATATTATGAGCCTTGAACAGTAACCAGATAAACAGAAAACCTACAAAAGCATAAATAAATGATGAGGATGTTTTCAGAAGACTTTAAATGACAGTCTGCCAAATCCAATTTCAGCGAAGCAAATTACTTCTGTTGTGTGGCTTAATTTAGTCAGTAATTTAGTTTACGTCATAATTTAGTGTAATTCTCATAATTGCATACTTACTGTAATTACATGATCAATGAAAATTAATTACAAGCTACTTGCACAGGATTGATATGATGTGGGCACCAAAATGAATGACAATTAACCACCAAACTAATTCCAGTGAGAAAAGTTGCTGATCATCAAACTGAAGTAGATGTTCTCATACCTTATGGCTTAATAAAAAAACAACAAACCTAACCCTAATAGGTTCAGCATTAAATTATGGCTCGTCTTAGAAGGAATATAGATTTAGTGCATTGAGTACATACAGTATTTTTGTGTCTCTTGTTATTTTACACTGACAAACTACAGCATGACAGAGCATGTGCAACTCTACTTAACTGTTAAGTCACTCAGCACTACTAAAGTCAAAAATAATTACTTAAAAGTTACTCCAATGTCAACTCAGAAAGTTCTAGTTTAAGGGACGTTGCCAAAATAAAGATTTTTTCAGTTCTTAGTCAGAACGGGTCGCTGTGTTTGCCAGTAATTTGGAATTGATCAAGACCAATAAATCGTCTTAGCTGAGCGTCTCCTGACCTGAAGTGAAGTGGATGTCTTTAGACAGATTGTCAGGTCATACTACTACAATAATCCGCTTTAGCTTCCACAGATTCACAAACCTTTTTTAAAACAGAGATCCTGCAATACTACTGTAAATCAAGACCCGTAATTAAACTGGCTTTGCTTTTTTACACTGAACCAAACAATGCCGGCACAATTCTGTGCTCCCGAGGCGAAAAGGCCATGTAACACAACAGTGTCAGAACCCCGTCCTGCTGGCTCCCCGATTATACGATGTTTTATGACGTCAATTCGGTTGTGTTACTACCTCTGCCGCCGTCTTAACAGTAGAACAACAATGTCCTCCATTCAAGGTTTGTACGTTTTATACAGAACGTCAAGGCGGAATAACGACGCAGCATTCTTGTATGAAGGAGACAGGAGTTACTGTTAGCCAGGTCACATGCAGGCCTCACATTTGTGACTCATGGCTCTCAGCACTGAGGTGCACTGAACCAGGACCAGCACTGAGTGGTACAACATCAAACCGCATTCCCTAAGCTCCTGCAGGTTTATGCAAAACATTTCAACCTGATCCTAACCTATAACAACCGACCTATCCAAGAGGCCTGACTAATTAAATGTTATTTCACTTAATCTAAAAAGCAATAAGTACATTGTATCTCCATGAAGAAGTCTCAAGGAACTTGAAAAAGTGTTTCATCCACTGTAAAAAAGCACATCAGGTACAAAGTAAAACTAAATATGTAGGTCAGACAAGTCAGCCAATCCAACTATGTGCTGTGAAGTCAAGCAAAGTCTGACAGAAGAGACCCAACAATGGCGTGAGAATTGCACCATACATTAAATGAAATAAGACTTAATGCAGATATCTCACAGATGGCAAACTATGGAGCAGAAAATCCTGTCACAGGTAGGGGTAGGAGAAGAAGACAGAAGAGGACAAATTCAAAAGTAAACCTCACCACCGCTGTGCATCACCGTTAAAATCAAATCCCCTTTCACTCAGACACACCTCCCATGAAATAAATCTGAAGCACAATTTTGTTCAAAGCGTGAAATTCTCACATAGATTGTGTGAAATTGGCAACAAGGCCCTTTTGACAAGATGGCTTCATCATCCCCCTGAAAGCCTGCAGTGAATGGGAAGAACATTTGTTGTGCTGTGACTCGCCTAACAGAGAACATTTGATGCAGAGCAACAGAGACAGACACAATTATTCTTGGAAAGTGAATTATCATTACATATTACACTACACTATATATACTACTCATAAGATAAGAGAGAGACTGTATTGTAAGGGAGGTGCTAGTTTGTTTTAAGAGAATAGGTTTTAGGATTTAGGATGGAATGAGATTAAGAAAGGGGCTTTGAAATGTTTGAGGCAGACTAAAAGGGGCTCGCTGCTGCAGCGCTGAGGATGTTTAGTGTGGAAGACTGCCATTTTCTTAATTCAACTTAATTAAGAAAACCAATTCATCTAATGCAATGAAGAAGATCACTACTGGCCCAATTACAACCTGCAGACTCAGTCCTTCACTCACATAAAAGCACATAATTGAAGAGGAAACTCTTGACTCTTAACAAATAATCAACATTAAACTGATCAACGTTAACTTGATCCCTCTGACATATTGCAGATAGGCTTGAGAAACATGAGTATGCGTTGTATCCACTGTAAATTGACATGACAAAAATGACAATGTCCCATGTAAATAATTTTTTAATAAAATAAGCCCAATACAGATGTGTGTCACATGTTGCCGAATCTATAAAATGTCACATAATAGTGACAAATATTTATCACAAGCAGCTCCAAGAGCTCAGAGTGACATCTTCAAATACATTTTCAGTTCAAAATGATGT